TATATATAAAACAATAATGTCATGTGTTTTTACACCGCAAAAATTATTTTTTTTAAATTCTTTTCTATTCAAGAAATACTCATCACAAGATGAAAAAAAAATTAGGAAATAAAAAAAATAAAATATTATATAAGATATAAATTAAATATCTGACACAGTTTTGCCTCGTAAGTTCATTTATCTTTTCATATATTTAGTTATTTTATCTGAACAATTCTGAACAAAAAAAGAAATGAACACTTTTATTGAGAAAGGATGCGTTAAATTGATCAAAAGTGACAGTAAAAAACTATTTGCGGTATGTTAGACACATTTTTTTAAACAAAATTCATTCTTTTATTCAGTAATGATCTATTAAATTGATCAAAAGTGACATAAAAACACTGAAGTACATTTTAACTTTAACTTGCTTACTAATAATTATGTCTACTTATCAAATCAACAAATAAATGCACATGAAACATTGATTAAATTATTGTATTATTTGAGAATTAAGAGACTGTGGCAGTGTTTATTCACAGGTTATTCAAGGTTGATTCTGTGTTTAAATTATTTTCAATTTATCTTTTTTTTTTCAGAAATACTCATCACAAGATAAAGGCTTGTTTTTTGTGAGAAAAAAAACACGCAAATAAAATATAACATAAGATATTTAATATTAAGATACGATGAAAAAAATTTACCTTATACAGTGTTGCTTCCTAATTAAACTGATCTTTTTTTATATATTTAGATATTTTATCTGAACAATTAGACAAAAATACTCATTTAAAATAGGCTTTTTTGCAGTGTAACAATGTAGTTCAATGGTAGACTGTCAAACAACAATCTTAAATTCAAACGACTCAGCTCACTGATCACACGGGCTGATCTTCAGCTCTGCATCTATTAAAGATGATACTGTAAATGCCGCAGTTGAACAGTTTGTTCTGATTTTTATTGCGGGTTTACTGTCATCAGTTACACCTATGAAAGCTGAACTGGAGTGGCGGGCTGCCAGTGTTAAATTGCACAGAGGACAGAAATACCTGCAAATACTCCTCAACCTGCTGATGTTTCTGCTTGGCAGCGAAGTGCTCGGACTCAGAGAACGCCTCGCGCAAAGTCTGCTGGGACATCAGGGACTCCAGAGCCAGCAGGGCCGACACGCGGCAGTACAGGCCGATGAAACTGGGGCAGTAGGCCTCGAAATGAACTACACAGACGGAGAGTGAGAGCACGGCGGGGGACGGGACAGAAGATACGTGTGTGTGTGAATGTGTTTATGGTGTGTCGTCTCACCTAACTCAAAGATCTGCAGCGGCAGGGTGAAGAATCCCGAGCGCGGCGAGCAGAGATGGTTCTGTCCGGGCGGTGAACACACCTCCTCACACGGTGGGAGGAGCAACAGGAAGGACACGCCCCCTCCCAACTCAACCACCTCCTTCACATACACACGGAAATCCTGTGCCTGATATATGAGGATAAGGAGAAATGTTAGTATTTGCAGTATCATAGGTTCTCTAAAGAACCTTTTTATTTATTTTATTATTTTTTTTGCTGTATAGGGCCATATGGAATATGGTTTTGGAAATTAAACTAGTTCTTCATTCTACATTGTTCTGATTTTAATGGTTTATGTTTTCATTCATCAGACTCTAATGTACTATTTGTGGTACATTATGGCACTTTATTTAAAGGGATTAATACTTTTATGTAGCAAGGATGCATTAAATTAACAAAACACTATTTGCTGTAAATTCCGTCCGTTTTTGGTAGAAAATATTACTTTTATACATAAAGGATGCATTAAATTAATCAAAAGTGACAGTAAAACATTATTTATGGTAAATTATGGCCCTTTTTAAAAAGAAATTAATACTTTTATTCAGAAAGGATGCATTAAATCAGTCAAAAGTGACAGTTAAACAATATTTACAGTACATTGACACTTTTTTGAAGAAATACTTTTATTCAGCAAGGATGCATTAAATTAATCAAAAGTGACAATAAAACACTATTTGCAGTAAATCATGGACCCTTTTTTAAAATAAATTAATATTTTATTCAGAAAGGATCTATTAAATTGATCAAAAGTGACAGTAAAACATTATTTGTGGTACACTGACTTTTTTGGAAGAAATTAAAACTTTTATTCAGAAAGGATGCATTAAACTGATCAATAATGACAGTAAAACGCTATTTGTTGTACATCATGACACTTTTGAAAATAAATTAATGCTTTTATTTAGAAAGGATCTATTAAATTGATCAAAAGTGACAGTAAAACATTATTTGTGGTACACTGACTTTTTTGGAAGAAATTAAAACTTTTATTCAGAAAGGATGCATTAAACTGATCAATAATGACAGTAAAACGCTATTTGTTGTACATCATGACACTTTTGAAAATAAATTAATGCTTTTATTTAGAAAGGATCTATTAAATTGATCAAAAGTGACAGTAAAACATTATTTGCGGCACATTCTAACTTTAGCTTGCTTACTAGTAATTATGACTACTTATCAAATCAATTAATAAATGCACATGAAGTACTGATTGTTGTTGTTTGTGATTACTGATTGTGATTTAAAAATAATCAAATTAAGACTTATTTATTATTACAAATTAAGGTTGATTCATGAACTGGTTCAAACATCTCCAGATTTTTCCAGCACTATTTACACTGTAAAAACTTATTTTTTGAAGTTGTATATTTTTTTATATTATAAATATAATATCATATATTAAATATTATATATATAAATAAAGAATATTGGAGTATGTTTTGCAAAAAACTATTTCAGACTTTCTACATAAAAAAAAACAAACATTTAATTCAGTGTGCTATTTGTCATTTCTTTGTAATTATTTATGAAATTTACACCAAATGTTTTCAGTGTAGAAATTTCTATGACTTTCCCATTTACACACACAATACATGCAAAACAGGCTAGCGGGCATGCGTTTCATCTGTGTCATGTATGTATATGTGTGCATTTGATACTGTGTGGCCCTGATTTACTAAATTCCCACATAATGGCATTAATTTGCTTGTGCTATCAAGCTAATTGTGTGTCTATGTGTGGAAGTGTGAATGCACAAACCTGGCGGTTGGGAATGTTGATGCAGGCGAGTAAATCTTTAGCAGCGGTCCGTAAGTCCAGTAGGAGGCGATGTGGAGCGCTCTGGACATCGTCACACACCTTCGCGCTGTCCTCCAGCGAACTCAGCGACTGAAGCCACTGCCATTCTTCCCTATGAAAAAACAAACACATATAAATTACTACACACATATGTAAAGGCATACGCATGCATAACACAACCATAACCGCGTCATACCTGGAGACGTGGCCATTGTCTCGTATTTTGACGTGGCACAGCACGTTTGGGTGTTTGTGTGACACCAGCATCCTGATCTGGTCCACTGAGGTGTAGAGCTTCAGATATCCCAGATACAGGCCTGGAGACAGACACTTCCTGCTGCGCCGGTGATACGCCAGCTTCTCCTGCACACCAAGAGCTCATTAGAGAACACGAATCTCATGAAACCTGTCAAGAACACATCCAGATCGATAATCATCCCAAAAACAAGTGAAATAAACATGACATGTTATTACTGCTTCTCTGGAGTACTTCTTTCTGATTGGTTATTCATGGTAAAATATTTCTGAATATGTGAATAACTGACCGTTCACCTGGGAAAAGTGCGTTTTGTACAAGCTGTGCTCGTATTCTGCAAGCTAATAAAATAATCTCAACTCATATCAGCCATATCAACTTTTTCCTTTACATCAATGTACATATTGTTTTGATTAAGCGGGAAAATGTACAGCCAAATAAGTGTTATTGCAAAATAAAAACCAGGACTGATCAGGACTGCTTTGCACTAAAAAAAAAAAAAAAGGATGCCTTTTTTATTTTTTATTCTTATTACTATAATGTGAGGGAAATATATATCTAGATGGATAGATGGATAGATAGATAGATAGCAAGATAGCTAGATAGATAGATAGATAGATAGATAGATATAGTATAGTATTATGCATATTATGGTATATTTGTTTAAATGCTTTTAATTTAAGCGGATTTAAAAAATATATAACAGTGATAAGAAATATAATTATATTTTTTATATAATAAAATAATACAAAATTACAAAAAAACATTACAATAGTGAGGACAAGATGGGTTTAATTTTTTATGAAAATACTGTTACAATCCAAACATCTTAAATAATGTCTTCATAATCGGCTTCTTTTTCTTTATTCAAAATGATAATTTCCTATTTTTCTTTTGATTTTGAGGTGAAATACAACTTCAAATTCATCTCACAAGATATACAGTGTCTGGAACATTCTGTGTGCAGTCTGAATGATATGGAATGGAAAAATAGGCAAACACACACACACACACAGAGGTATGAAGAACTTCCTGCAATAGCCTGAAATTGACCCATGTTTATCATTTCTAAACTATTTGACTGAGAGACTGACTCTGGAGCCATGTGGTTGTTGAGCTGTGGAACCACTTTCACCACACACACACACACAGACACACACACACACACACACACACACAGCTTCACCACAGGGAAAATCTGAGCCGCTCAGACAAAACATCATTTTGACACTGAGGCTGATGTTCCTGAGCCAGAGTTGCCCCAAACGCACGATCAGTGGCGGGTGAAGTGTTTACAGCACTCAGACTAAATCATCAGCTGAACAATGCTACTGTTATACTCCCACAACTCACGGCACTCCGGGAACAAGAACGAGGAATACAGAAGCTAGCGGCTGCTAAATGTTTTTTTCCACTGATTTTCAGGCTTTGGACTCATTTACTGTATATAAGAGCCTGAAACCTGCTGAGTTAAAGCATTCGTTCACCCCAAAAAAAGTTGTGTCATTTTCTCTCCAAAGTTGTTTCAAATTCATATTGCTTTCTGAACCTGAATACACTGCATCGAAATGAGTCATGCCAGGCTTGACGTCAATAATGAGACACTAGAAAGTCAATGATGTTTGACGTCAAACTGTATAAATTCAGAAGTTTGGACACACTAGACTGAATTTATGTTTCTCATTATTCTAAAAATGGGTTTTGTACATAAATGTACAGTACTTGTAAAAATTTTGGAAACATTATGACTTTTAAATGTTTTTAATGAAGTCTCTTCTGCTCACCAAGGCTGCATTTATGTGCTCAAAAATACAATAAAAACTCTAATATTGTGAAATATTATTACAATTTAAAATAACTGTTTTCTATTTGAATAAATTGTATAATGTAATTTATTGCTGTGATCAAAGCTGAATTTTCAGCATCATTACTGCAGTCTTCAGTGTCACATGATCCACACAACTGTTTTCAACATTGATAATAATCAGAAATGTTTCTTGAGCAGCAAATCAGCATATTAGAATGATTTCTGAAGGATCATGTGACACTGAAGACTGAACTAATGATGCTGAAAATTCAGCTTTACATCACAGGAATAAACTACAGTTTAACATATATTCAAATAGAAAACAGTTATTTCAAATTGTAATAATATTTCACAATATTACTGTTTTTACTGTATTTTTGATTGAATAAATGCAGCCTTGGTGAGCATTAAAGACTTAAAGTAAGAGTGTTTCGATTCCAGCATTTCCGTACTTTCATTGATCATGATGCTAGAAGGGAGCAGTTACCGTACCTGTGGCACACTGACGATGCACCAGTGTTTTAGTGTTTAAAGCACTCACATGCAGTGTGGTGAGAAGCGTCTCCAGTGCGCTGGGCTCGTCTGATGAGGAAGAGAAAGACCTGCGCTGCAGCTGGAATTTACTGATGGGAATCCAGTGTACGCCTTCCAGAGGTGCGCATGCGCTCGTGTCCTTCATCAGCACCAACACTACGTTACCATGCTTATCCTTGATGGGTTCAAAATACACCTGCCCGAGATCCACCGTGCCAAGGAGAGCCTGCACAACAAACCAAAAAAGAAACTTTACCTCAGGATACTGTATATGTTACAGGTGTAAATAAATCTCAACTTTAAAGGGGTCATCGGATGTCCATTTTCCACAAGTTGATATGATTCTTTAGGGTCTTAATGAAAAGTCTGTAACATAGTTTGGTTAAAATTTCTCAATGGTACAGTTTGATTGCAGTTCTTTACTAAATGATGCAAATCATTAAGAATTTTGGTTATTTTGATGCATTTTTACGTCCCCAGTGACTATAGACTTCAACCTGTAGCTGTGCAGCTGCCTGCAGCAGCTTGAGGCGCGTCTGAAGCGTGCAGGAACTGGAGGCGTGTGCAGGACTGATGCACTGCTGCATCCAGGTGAGCTCCTCCCACAGATGTGACACCTGTCAACGCACGTCACCATGGAGACCATGTTTAATATTCAAATATTGATACTGTATACTGCGGTGCAAATTAGTGAATTAGTTTTGGTGCAATGAACGATTTCATATTTAATTGGATTGTAACATTAATCTCCTTATCTTTAGCAATGTGAACTACATTTACAATGTGTATATATTTAATCAAAATTATACATTATATAAACTGTTATTATATACATATATTGTTATATATCTATTTATATGTGAGGTCCTTTGAGTGATTTTTAAAAAAGCAAACTATTTTTAAAAACTACACACACACATATATATACACACAGAGAAAATAATATTATATAAAATTTTTATATTACATTTTTACATTATTATTTTTATTTATTTATATATTTTTTTTTAACAATGTGAAAT